GGAAGCAAGGATTGGTGGTTGTGTCTGGATTGGGTAGGGACCTCGTCAATGTGAAAAAGGCAGCAGGAATGGACTCGGATGTTCTAAGCAGCTACGTGACCAAGCTGGAGATGGGGCTCGACAAAGTGAGGTCGGTTTTCCAGTATGAGAGAGCCGATAATAATATGCACGGCAAGTTTTTCCACTCGATGAAGCAGTTTATGAGAGATGCAGAAGAGGTAATTGCCACAATCAAGAGCAGTGAAAGGAAAGCTCTGTTGCTAGTGAAAGAGGTGACAGCGTATTTCCATGGAGATACGGCAAAGGAGGAAGCCCACCCATTTAGAATTTTCATGATTGTGAGGGACTTCTTGAACATACTTGATCATGTGTGCAAGGAAGTAGGGCAGATGCAGGATAGGACGGTGGTGGGTTCAGCTCGGTCATTCAGAATAGCTCCAACCGCTTCATTACCGGTTTTGAACAGGTATAATGTGAGACAAGATACCAGTTCGGATGATGAAGACAGTTCTTCCCCTTGATTGCTACCCTGTGTAGAGAATCTCGGGTTAAAAAAAATTATATCTTTCGAATTTAAGAAACAGGAAGAGTATAGTGCATTATTTTAATTTTGAATCACAATGGTGTTGAAGAGTAGTAGAAGCATGCAAAAGGAGAAGGGGTTTTGATGGACAACATGCGATCTTCACTTGAAGATACAATGAAGAGCAGGTTGTTGAAAAGGGAAGAAGGCAAAAATGGAATGTGGAGCTGCAAACATACGAGGTTTATGATGGGGTGAATTGATACCTGGAGCTGCTTCTGCTACTACAGCTCGCGCTGGGAGATGCCACAGTAAGATTAGATACATATATATATATGGCTAATAGATGAGGGTTAAATACAATTTCAGGTTCAGAGAATGTTTTGATATTCCACATGCTGGTGTTGCATTTATTTGATAGCTGGTTTAGCTGGAAGCTTTCACTGGTTCAAACCTGTAGCTTGCCCATTCTAATTCTGGATAGGTTTCTATTTGGGAGTTGGTTGGTGTGGAAGAAAGAAGAAAACCGACATGTTTGGTTATTGTGAGCAATGTGTTAATAATGGTGGCTACAGTAGGAAAAGTCTTCCTGGGAGATGTTAAAGACGTTGCAGTTTCTGGTTCTCTCTGCATTCTGATTTTCCCAAATTGAGATGGCACATAATTGGCTGGCGAGTATAACGTGAACGGCCCCTCAATGGCCAATACCCTTTTCTTTATTCTCTTTCTGAATAACGATCAAAGGTCATTTGGGAAAGCGATTTGTCGGTGGAAGACAGCAATTAACATCCAGTGCTCTTTATTGTCGGGACAGTTTTTTTATAATCTAGTTCATATTAATTTCATTGCACCACGTTGATATGATTAATTTGCAATTGCAATTAAATTTTAGTTTAATTATAGAAATACAAACACTTAAAAAAAACAATTCTATAATAAAAAAGATAATGTGTCTTGCAATTCATAATTGACAAGCTTACAAAGATGTTATTGTCATCTACAATTGCAATTGCAATTGAATGTCATGTCACAATGCAATTCAAAATACAATTCTAGTGTAAATGCAAGCAATTAAACATCTTTTTTTGTCGGTCTATGTTAGAGCATCCGTATTAATGCAACTACAAACAAAATCACTTGTACTCTTCATTGTTACCTCAATTTTTTTTTTACAAACAAAATCACTTGTACTCTTCATTGTTACCTCAATTTTTTTTTGCAAACCAACTCAGGTTACTTTCATTTGCTTACATCAATGCAATTAATTTGCAATTGTATATGTGGGCACAACTTATTTTTTAATATAAATTTTTTATTCATACATAAAATAAAAATATGAATACCTACGTGAAATTGTAAACGAAATTGCAAAAAATGGCAGGTTGCACTATTGCAATTGGAATTTCTTTCATTTACGGGTTCATCCACATGTTTTTCCAAATGTATTATTTCTGGACTTTCAACATCTACTTCATCTAAGTCATCATCATGAATTTCATTCATGTTATAGCATTCATCTATCATATTTGGATTGCATGATGCATCAAATTTAGTAGCATATCCTGACTGTCTCGAAGAAGGATGACTGCTGACAAGTGGAGAACTATCTGGAAGGATTGACTTGGAACTTGAATGTGGAACAAGAATAGCCCGGCTGACATGTGTACTGCTATTAGGGAGGTTGACAAGAACAAGACTACTGACAAGTAAATTCCTATTTAATGAGGTAGGGAATTTATCGTGGTCAGATGAACTAATTGGAGTAGGAAAAAATGGGGTATCCAGCTGAATCTCATCTATTATTTTAGTGCTAGAAGAACTTTTGAATGGAAAAATGTCTTTATAGAATGCGACATGCCTAGAGACTAAGAATTTATGTGAATTCAAGTCAAATAATTTATATCCTTTGATTCCAGTGGGAATGCCTAAGAAGATGCATTGTTTAGCCATCACATTTAGTTTAGTTCTACCCTGTGATCAAGTTGTGGCATATGACAGGTAGCCAAAGACTATGAGATTACCAAGAAATTGCGGGACTTGATAAATGATTTAATAAGGTGACTTGTTGTTAAGAACTGGGGTTGGTAATTTGTTTATCAAATACACAGAGTGAAGTACACAATCACTCCAAACAGCGCTGGTACACCTGAATGGAAATCTCAAAGCTCTAGCTATATTCAAGATGTGCTGATACTTTCTCTCTACCCTCCCATTTTGTTCATGGGTATAAACACGTGAAGTTTGATGTTCTATGCCTTTTCCAAACAAAAACCACACATGTAGAATTCCTTTCTCTAGTCACTCCTCATTATTTGGACATGTTTAGAAAGTTTCACTATTATGACATATTGAGAAAATTGAGTGTGAACCGGGTCCAGATCGGGTCAGTAACTGATGGGTCAGTAACCCATCAATAACCCATTCCCTGGTCCCCATGTGTCAGTCACTTTTTTATTTAAATTAAATGTGAAAAGGGCAGTACGGTAAAATTGCACTTACTCCTATTTATTGCTGATGCTCACTTTTGACCGGAGCATATCAACGCCTCCTTCTCTCTCCTCGCAAAATATTTAATTTTCCTTCCCTGAATCTTTAACGGACGATTTCTCACTCGTTTTAAGTCGAAATTTAATTTTTTTTGCACAGTTAGATAAGATTAATTGTGCTCTTCAAAATGATATCCACTTTGATATTTTTTTGACACAAAAAAATTTGTCAGTTATTACCAGTCTATACCATATGATATTGACTGTACCATATGGTATTGACTGGTATTAAACAAGAGCATATCATATGATATGGTAATATTTGCCACATGAATATATATTTCGTTACCACCCAATACCATATGGTATAGTGTGGTAATATCAATATATATTTCGTTATCACCCAATACCATATGGTATAGTGTGGTAATATCACACAATTCACACAATACCATATGGTATAGAGTGGTAATATCAATATATATTTCATTACCACGCAATACCATACATTACCATAGGGTATAGTGTGGTAATATCAATATATATTTCGTTACCACCCAATACCATATGGTATAGTGTGGTAATATCAATATGTATTTCGTTACCACCCAATACCATATGGTATAGTGTGGTAATATCAATATATATTTCGTTACCACACAATACCATATGATATAGAGTGGTAATATCAATATATATTTCGTTACCATGCAATACCATAAATTACCATAGGGTATAGTGTGGTAATGTCAATATATATTTCGTTACCACCCAATACCATATGGTATAGAGTCATAATATCAATATATATTATCTAAAAGGAAAAAACAGAAGGAGAGAGAAAAAATCGTCTTCTGATGCCTCTCATTTCCTCTTCCTCAATCAAGAACACCAAAATGCCAAAAAAAGAGAAAGATCGGAATTGAGTCCAACGAGTTGATGAAGAGAAGAAATGCAATGAAAGAGAGTGGCTACAATTTTTATGCTAGAGAAAAAAAATGAAGAAGGAAGAGAGCAGATTTAGATTTGAAAAGGAGATTGTGAGAGAAAAAGTAAGAGAGAAGGAATAGAGAAAGAGAAAGGATCCGGAAAAAGATTGAAAAAAAGGAAGAGAGAAGGAAGAAAGTTGAGTTGCAGAGAAGGAAGATTCTCTCTCTTTCATTGAAAAGCCAGCCATTGAAATGCGGAATAAATAAAAAAAATTAAAAATATAAAAACGGACAAAAATGTCCCTCCCCACCCAGCGTCCAGCCTATCCACACGATTTCTCCATCCCCAGATTTACGGTCCGCGTGTAGTTACTGATGGGTCAGTAACCACTGGTTACTGACCCTATCTTGGACCGTGTGAACCATGGAACAGAAACCAATAAGCAATTGTCTGGCTTCTGACATATGTCTCATTAGATAGACCCATAATGCTCGAGAATGATGATCAACAATGGTAAAGGAGTAAGAAAATCCATCATGTGATTGAATTGAAAGTAGTCCCTAGATATCCACATGAATTAGATCAAAAGTAGTAGGTGTAGTAATACTATTAGAGGAAAAGGGAAATCGTTTCTTTATGGACATATGACAGTGCTTATAATGCTTAACTTGCTCTAAGAGAATACTAGGGATACATTTGTAAATAAGTTGTGATCTACTATGATTAGGGTGTCCTAATCGCCAGTGCTACAAATCGATATTCTAAGGTTCAAAGCTGTAGACTGAATCAAGCACTGGTCTCATCATGCTGTCATTCCATTTAAAATGACATCGTTCTATTGTCGAGCTGGAAACAAAAAAATGGTTTGACCAATGGCTTTTCCGGTTTTGGTCTATGGCTGGTTTCGGTCGAACCTGGTCCAACCCCCCAGTCATTTGACAACCTTGGGAAATGATAGCCTTCTCTGAATTATCATCTTTTTTATATGTTCTTTGATTCTTTCCCCGCCAGAGTGCCTCAAGTTCAAACACTCGAGAAATTAGAGGGGGGAAACCAAAAACATGGAGAAGAGGCTCCGGTCATCTCTAAACTCCTCCGTCGACGATTTCCTCTCCGTCCCCATCAAACTCTCTCTCAAATCCTGCAAGCTCTCCCTCAACGTGCTAATCCATTCCATCTCTCCCTCTTCTCCGCTCTCTGCCACTCTCCTTCCTTCTCTCCGCCGCATCATTTCCGACTCCATTGCCTCGTTCGAGAGCATTAGTCAACCCCCACCATTGTCGTCGCCGCCTCATTCACCTGACATTGCCAAATCGCCTCCCTCCAAACTCCCCCGCCGTTCGTCTCGTAACAGAATGAATTCAAATTCCAATGGTCCTCTCCCAATCTGTCAACGTTTTGATCCCATGACAGGAACAATTGCTACGCTGCCGTTTCAACATCGCCCTTCATCTCAAGTTGGAGCGCTGACGTTTCATCATCCCTTGCTGAAGACGAGTTGCGAAGCTGCCGTTTTTTTCTTACTTGTTTAAGCTGTATTTGCTTTTACACCAAGTCAGACTTGGTTTCCTTTCCAAGCTACCACAGCTTCTATGGAAGCTTGTCTTCTTGTATGTTGTTATGCCTATAAGAGGCGGATTTGATGAATGAAAAACACAGAACTAGATTTTCACTCTTTCCCTTTTGTTCCTTTGTTATGGTATCACAGCCTGGGATAAAACCCTAGCCGCCGCCGCTTCCCTTCAATGGCTGACAATCAGACTGAACCACAGCCACAGACATAACCCCAACGTCAAGATCCACGGCAACAAAATGTTGTCGATCCTGCTTCTGACCCTTTCTTCCTCCATGGTTCTGAGCAACCTAGATCTCTTCTTGTTGCTGAAAAACTCACAGCAACAAATTACAATGATTGGAGCCGCGCTATGTCAATGCTCTTGCAGCTAAAAACAAGCTGGGATTCATCAACGGTACAATACCTGAACCTCCAGCTACTGATGCGAGGCATGGAGCTTGGACCCGCAACAATGTCATGATTCTTAGTTGGATACAACAGTCCACTTCTTCAGAAATACGCAAAACCATCCTCTCCAACAAAACAGCAGCAGAAGCTTGGAAAAGTCTCCAAACACGCTATGGATCTGGAGATCTCATTAGGATTGCAGAACTTCAAGAAGATTTATCTTCCCTGGAGCAAGGTAATCAGACTGTGACTGAATATTATGGTAGAATGATTACTCTCAAAGATGAATTAGAGAACTATCAACCTCTCCTGCCATGTTCTTGTACTCCTATTAGTCACAATACCTGTGTTGCAATGCTAACGGTTCTCCAGTACCAATAAACAAGTTATGTTATTAAATTTCTCAGAGGCCTCAATGAGAACTTCTCTGGTGTTAGAGCACAAGTGCTCTTTGGAGATGAACTTCCCAATATCAACAGGGTCTTTCAAAGGATGCTTCAGCACGAAAGGCAGCTGTATGGTACTCAATCTGGAAAGCTCATAGCTTCTATGCAAACAGATCCATCAGCAATGGCTTTTCAAGGGAGCAACATAAGGCCAAATCCCAGTTCCAAACCCCCATACTGCACATTTTGCAGGAGGGAAGGACACACTGAGGATATATGTTTTCAAAAACATGGTTAGCCTCCTGGCATGTCAAACCCCTCATCATCCACACCTGGCATAGTTATCACTTGTTCTTACTGCAAAAGAAGAGGCCACTCTGAAGACAAACGTTTTCAGAAAAATGGATACCCTGCCAACTTTGTGCCAAGGAATCCCAACTCTGTTGCTGGTCGAGGAAGACCTACTGTCAATTCAATTGCCACTACTACCTCACCTGATGAAGTCAAGCTCACCAGAGCTGACTACGAGAAGCTCATGCGCCTGATGAATGCAACACAACCTTCCACTTCTTTCTCTGCTGCTGCCTTTGTCACCAACAAAGGTATTCTTCCCACCCCTATATTTACTGCTTTCTCTTCACAACAAACAATGTGGATAGTTGACACAGGAGCATCAGACTATATTGTATGCTCCTTATCTTATCTACAAGACCCTCAGCCCTTGACCAATGTCTACATAACCCTTTCCACTGGAACAAAAGTCCAAGCAACCCATTCTGGCACAACTTTATGCAGTGATGATATCATCCTGCAAATGCCCTGTTTGTACCCCATTTTTCCTTCAACCTACTTTCTGTGAGCAGACTCACTTCCACCACCAAACTAAACTTATCATTTCATTCTATTATGTGTTTCATACAGAATCTGGAGCAGAAGAAGGTGATTGGTTCTGCTAGCCTTCACAATGGCCTCTACTACCTTCAAGCATCACACACCCCTAGGTTAATCCCTGCAGCTTCCAGACCTCCCTTTGATCTATGGCATATTAGACTAAGACATGTCTCCCACTCTAAAATTCCCATTCTCAACCAATTTTGTACCTCCATTACAACACAGAAGGATCAACCTTGTGATGTTTGTCATTTTGCAAAACAAAAATGTCTTTCATTTCCTGTAAGCCAGTCTGTAACTCAGTATCCCTTTGAACTACTTCATGTAGACATTTGGGGTCCTAATTCAGTTCCATCCTATGATGGCTACAAGTACTTTTTAACCATTGTGGATGACTTTTCCAGAATGACTTGGATCATTCTACTTCATCTTAAATCAGAAGCCAGACCCAAACTCATAGCCTTCTGCACACAGATGCGAAGACAGTTTTAAAAACAAATAAAAACCATCAGGTTTGACTAGGGCCAAGAGTTCCAAATGACTGATTTCTTCACCTCCACAAGCATTACTCATGAAATGTCCTGCGTTGAAACCCCTCAGCAAAACAGCAAGGTTGAAAGAAAGCATCAACGTATACTTGCAGTTGCTAGGGCTCTTCAATTCCAAGAACATTTACCACCAGCTTTCTGGGTATACTGTGTTAAGCACGCTGTCCATCTCATTAATAGAGTTCCAACCTCAGTTCTAGCCAACCAAACTCCATTCCACATCCTTCACAACAAACCACCAGATCTGACTAAGTTAAGAGTATTTGGATGTCTTTGTTATGCTTCCACCCTTGCCAATCATAGAACCAAGTTTCAGCCTAGAGCTAGGAAGACAATTTTCATAGGCTACAGCCCTGGAATTAAAGGTTACAGACTCTATGACTTAGCCTCTCATGAAGTTTTTACCTCAATAGATGTGATTTTCTATGAATCACATTTTCCATTCCAAAAAATCGACTTCGATGACTCATCAAACCCACCTTCAGACCTTCTTTTTCCAATCCTATCCCCAGACTCCATTCTCATTCATGACACCACATCAGTTCCTAGAAACTTAACTTCCCCAATTCACCATCCAACCCCCTCTCCACTTCAATCTACTCCTGATAATAGTGCCACACCATCTCCACCCAATTCTCCTCCACACATCACTTCTCCTCCACCACCTCCCCCTCCTAATCCTCCACCTCAACCAAATCTCAGACGTTCAGACAGAACAGTCAAACCCCCTTCCCACCTCATCAAAAACTACCACTGCTACCTAGCACAAGGTCCTAGCAGCACCAATCACCCCAATCTGCAACAGATTCAAGACAACAGGTATTCACTCTCTTCCATAAACATTTCTAGTCATCAAGAACCACAGTCTTACAAAGAGGCCTCTAAGCTTGATGTTTGTAATCAAGCAATGCAAACTGAAATACAGGCTCTGATAAAAAACCACACTTGGGATGTTGTTTCACTGCCACAAGGCAAGAAACCAGTTGGCAATAAGTGGATTAACAAAGACAAATTCTTGTCTGATGGTTCTCTAGAAAGACATAAAGCCAGATTAGTTTCAAAAGGAAACACTCAATAAGAAGGGATTGATTTCCAGGATACTTTTGCACCTGTCATTCAGATGACCACTGTGAGAACATTTCTGGCCATTGTTGCACTCAGAAACTGGCACATACATCAATTGGATGTAGACAATGCATTTCGAAATGGTGGCTTAGAAGAAGAAGTATAAATTACCCTGCCTAAAGGTTTTACACCTCCTCCTGATATTCCAAGCCCAGTTTGCAGACTGATGAAGACTCTATATGGCATAAAACAAGCGTCAAGACAATAGTTCTCTAAGCTTACTGACAAGCTAATTCAGTTTGGTTATGTGCAAAGCAAGGCAGACCACTCCCTCTTCTTCAAAGTCACGGATACATCCTACACATGCATTCTTATATATGTTGATGACCTGGTTTTGAGAGGCAATGATATGGATGAAATTCAAGCAATGAAACATGTTCTGCATTCTGAATTCAGCATTAAGGACCTTGGAAATCTCAGATTTTTCCTTGGAATTGAAGTGGCAAGAAGCAAAGCTGGCATACATTTATCACAACGGAAATACACACTAGAGATTCTGGAGGAAGCAAATATCATTCATTCCAAGTCAGTCACCACTGGTATGGACTACAAACTGCATCTAAGCAATGAAGTGGATACTCCCTTTGAAGACCCAGAACACTACAGAACTATTGTTGGGAAGCTAATCTACCTCACCACTACCCGCCCAAACATCAGTTTCGCCACACAACAACTCAGCCAGTACATGTCCAACCCCATTCTCACTCATTTCAAGGCTGCTCAACGTGTGTTGAGATATCTAAAAATCGCCCCAGCCACAGGTCTCTTCTTCCCATCACAAGGATCTTTTCATCTCAAAGCCTTCACAGACTCTAACTGGGCAGGCTGTGTAGACACAAGACGATCCACAACAGGTTTCTGCATCTATCTGGGCGATTCTCTCATCTCATGAAAAAGAAAAAAAAAATAATAATAATAATAACATACCGTTTCTCGATATTCTTGCGAGGCAGAGTATCGTGCGTTGGCCTTAATCGCTTGTGAGATTCAATGGTTGCAATATCTTCTCCAGGATTTCCAGGTTTCTTCTTCCAATCCAGCCACCTTGTATTGAGACAATCAGAGCGCCATCCACATTGCGAAGAATCCCACCTTCCATGAAATAACGAAGCATATAGAACTCGACTGTCACTTTATGAGGGAAAAACTGCAATTGGGAACGCTCAAGCTCTTGCACTATCTCCTCAGCACATCAATTAGTTGATCTGTTCACCAAACCACTGTCACCTGCTCCATTTCTGTCCCTGCTCTCCAAGCTTGGTGTGAATCTCTGCCCACCAGCTTGGGAGGTAATAAAATGAATTCAAATTCGAATGGTCCTCTCCCAATCCGTCAACGTTCTGATCCCATGACAGGAACAATTGATGCGCTGCGGTTTCAACACCGCCCTTCATCTCAAGTTGGAGCGCTGCTGTTTCATCATCCCTTGCTGAAGACGAGTTGCTACGCTGCCGTTTTCTTCTTACTTTTTTAAGCTGTATTTGCTTTTACACCAAGTTAGACTTGGTTTCCTTTCCAACCTACCAAACAGCTTCTATGGAAGCTTGTCTTCTTGTATGTTGATATGCCTATAAGAGGCAGATTTGATGAATGAAAAACACAGAACTAGGTTTTCACTCTTTCCCTTTTGTTCCTTTGTTATCTCACAAGGCCAGCGCCACCCCTTCCAATTACTTCCAGAATGAACATAACATCGACCACTATAAGCAACGGACGCTCGAAAGCTTTCAAGTTCTCGCTTACCTCACCTTCCTCTGCATTTCGCATCCGAATAAGCCGTTTCAGTCCTTGGAACTGTTTCCGGCGGTCCAGCTTCTCCACGACAACTTGATTTTGTTCGAATCGGACTCCAACTTGCGGTCTGAGATAGCGAATTTGTGCGAGGAGTGTTGGAAAGAAGGATTTCCCGGGAGAGCTACTCATCTCGCAGTCGCTGCCATTCTTGTTGTCCAGGTCGCTGACTCTGAAGAAGAAGGTGGATATCCACAGAATCTACATTCTCTCCGCGAGGCGTTTTCTTTATTCGATTTTGAGGACGAGAGCATCGAGGATTTGAAATTGTTGCTTATCCGGTGCTTGATTGCTCCTCTCTATTTGAAAACTGAGGACGGGAAGAAGTTTCTTGCATTCGTATTGGGATTGGGTAAGCAGGTGCTGAAGGAGGCTTTGGCCATGATGAAGTCGCAGATCCCGTTTGGAAGGAAGTTGATGTTGGATGCGTATGGGGATGTTTTGTTTAGGGCTTGGAAAGGAGTTGAAGGAGAATTGAAGGATGAGATTGAGGGTGGGTTTTTGCAGGCTCTGATTGAGGGTGCTAAACATGCGAACTCTGGGCCATTTGCAGCTTCTATTAGGCGGTTTCTTGGGGGATTTGTTACTCAAAGGATCAGTGAAGGAGTTGAGAAGCTCCTTTTCAGGTTAGCTGAGCCAGTGCTTTTTCGATCACTGCAGGTGAGACAGCCCAAAAGATAACAAGACTACTTCTCCCATCATACCTTCCCTCAAAAGTAACAAAGAAGAAGCGTGTAGTCGTTGCATCACTCTCATAAAGAGGTCTCCCATGGGTGGCGCAAGGTTTTGTGAATTTACTGTATCAGAAGGGGCCTCAGTAAAACATGTCATGGAGCTAGTCCGAGTATTGATCAACTCTGTTTTATTGCAAGATAAGGCTGAAAAGGATCAAATTGAGGGCATACTTCTTGCTTCCGCACACCTTGTTAGAAGTGTGGTCAGTGAATCACGTTGTCAGGCTACCCTTAAAGAGTTTGTTTCCAGTGTTAATACCAAGAGGTTGTTTGCTGCAGCATCCACTCCTCGTGCTCAATCATCTGTCATCAGCATCTTCTCCATTGTGTCTCCAGAAGATGTGACTGAGCTTGTTGAAGAGTGCATGCGCCTCATTACATGTAGTCGTGGAGTATCTCGGGATGAAGAAATGCAAACCCAAGTGAGGCCTGCTCACAAATTATTGATGTCTTGTGATGCCTTTGATCACATGTTCCCGTCATTGACCAGTATTTTGGAGAAAATGACATATCGTTGCCATGTTAAGTTTGGGATTGAAATGTCAGTTAAGATGCCGAATGGGAAACGAAGAAAGGGTGAGTCAGGGGTCAAATCTTTGGCCAAGTGGAAACACATGAAACGGACAAAGGCATCCAATTTTGAGGAGGATTATTCTATTGTTGTAGCAGTAGCTTGGCAGCTGAAAGAGTTGCTTGCTTTTGTGGATGGCCAAAAGGCTGTCTTAGGGTCTCAAGATCTAGAACATGCATTTCTTGCTTTAAAGGATATTTTAGAGGTCACCATATTGCAGGCATCATGCTGTGATTACATGGATGCTGAACCTGTTTTAGCATATATGGTACTCTCCTCGCAGAGAACTCTTCAAAGCTTAAGCACAAGAGATATAGGTGATGATTCAGTTTCCGCAACAGAGGTGAGCATTATTATTTCTTTGTTTTTTTTTTGGTAGAAATTATTTTTTTGTTTTGATTATCTACTCCTAGATGTTTGGATTGAATACATAATAATGTTATTCCTTTGATTCCTTTGAGAAGTCTTTACTGCACCAAACAGTGGACCACGTCCTTAACTGCACTGAGCAGCTTCTTGGACAATCAACTAATTCAAGATCAAACTCCGTACTAGACAATAGAAAGACTGGTAGTAATGGGAACAGGCAAAGGGAGCATCAAGCAGATGTGTGTATATATCAAACAATGATGGTAAGGCATCTGGGAGTGAGAATTAGCTACTCATATATCATCCTTCAACGATCCCTGTATAGCTATTGATATGATCCCAAATGGTCCATTATACACGTCACAATTAATCTTCAAAGAGGCCAATTCGAATTCTGAGAGAGAAACAGAAAATAGTCCAAGTAATTTTCCGTGTTCAAGTAGCCGACTTTGGAAGCACGTTTCTCTCAATTGGCTCAATGAAAATTCAAGTTTGATGGCTTTTATTGAACATGGAGTGATTATCTACACATTGGTATGCTTGGTTGCTCAAGAAAAGTCATTAAGGTTTTTATCCAAGGTCTCAAAGTTGCTAGCTCAAAACTGGAAAACTGCCAGAAAATGGCTAGGCAGAAAACTGTTTTGAGATACCAACTTTGAAGGCCTATATCTGGAGTTTGGAGCATGATCTCAGGTTGTTTCAAGTTGGAGGTGAAAGAGGGAGTTTTCTTATACAAAGGAAAGACATTGGTTGAGTTCGAATCAACCTAGAAGGCCATTTTCGAAGGGCTCAAAGATGCTATGAAGCCTGTTTTCCTAGGCAGAATTGCTTGTGTTTTAAATCAGTTTCTTGGCCTGCAAGTTACCCTGTTTTACACGAATTCTTTAGCCTTTTCCTGTTCTAATTGGTTTCCTTGTTAGTTTAGAATTGTATTAGGTTTTCTTTGGCTATAAAAGCCTTCTAGTTTTCGTTGTAATAGTAAGACTTTGATAAATCGAAAAACAAACCTTCGGTTTTGTGCAAGTTGCGACTTGTTTGAGTTTGGTGGATTCCAAACTTGTGAGCTTTGTATCGATTGAATATCCTCTTCAATCATGGTCGAGCAGCTACCCTTTTATACCATTCGAGCTTCCCCCAGGTGTGGAATTGTCTGTTGGTTCCGTTTTATCCCAATTTCATATTAAGAACGCGTTGTTCTTGATTCGAGTTCAATCGATTCTTCGATTGAATCGTTAGCTGCGTTTCTTTGATCACATACTCCCCAGGGGCGTATTAAGTGGTATCAGAGCCCCGTTCTACACAAGGTCGAAGAAGAAGGTGAGAACGTGTTGATTCGTACAAGCAGATTTCGTCAAAAAATAGGGCAGCCATGGTGGTCGAATTGGAACAAGCGAATTTGACGACATACACTCGTTGTTTGGTGGGAGAGAAGGTGTGCTCTGTGTACATCAATGAAGAGAGAAAATCAAACCTGATTAGCTCACGAGCAGTGTCGAAATTGGGGTTGCCGATTCGAAAGCATCCAACTCCTTACTCGACGTCATTGCTGGAAATAGGAAGCTCTGTTTTTGTAACAGAGGAGGTGATCTTACCTTTTCGAATTGGAAGCTATGTAGATGAGGTTCGGTGCGACGTGGTTGCTCTGAAATTAACACATATAGTGCTAGGTAATCCTTGGCATGTTGATCGCGGTGCTCGACGAAGCAAGAGGACAAACCACGTTAGATTGCGGCATTGTGGAAAAAATTTTGCTTTAAAGTTTCTGTCTCAGGAAGAAGCAGCTGAAGTTCGAGCCACCCTGCTGCAGCGAATCCGTGACGATGAGGAACAGCTGCTGATGATGGAGGTTGCTTACGAGGACCAGCAGTTACATTAGCCAAAGATCCATCTCATTGAGGGAGAGCAGCGCGACGAAGCCGAGCACCTCTGTTTTTCATCGCGAGAGCAGAAAAGGAAAGAGAGTGCTTTGGGAGGGAGTTAAGGAAGCAAGGTGAGCTACGCTGAGCATTCCAACACGTTTATGGATGATCCAGGAATGAGTTTGTTGAACAAAACTGAGTTGAACCCCAGTGATTCTATTGTACGAATCCGATTCGCAGCGCCTCTGGAAACGACCAAACTCGATGAGATTATTGCCAAATTGGTTGAGAAGATTCAGGCTGAATTGACCCAATCGATTGATTCAGACGAGTTTAGGATGGTGCAAGGAACGTGTAGGTACGTTGAATCCATCTCGCAGCTGCCGGATTTAAAAACGCCCAATTTGGAATTACAAATTCTGGGTTTAGAGAATTTGAAAACTGACGACGGCGATAAAAATGAAAATGATGATTCTTCGCGTTCCACCGATAGTCGAGGCTTGGAGTTGATTGAGAAGTGTCATTCAATGAAGGCGAGCGAGACTTCGAGTGGTTCGACGATGGAGAAAGAACGAGCAGCCAATGTTATGTGCACGTTTTGTAGAATAGAATATAGGGAGAAAGATCGAAATAGGAAGAAGAATGATGGAGGAAGGATAGATAGATTGAAGACGAGAAGTGTTCTCCTTAATGGCGAGAACAGAACCCCTAAACTTTTTCGAGGAAAGCCAACCTCCCAAATTAACACGTAGGTGTGTAAAACCCTTTTCTTGATTATAATTGATTGATCCCTTTACTCTCTACATCTTGTTCTTTAAATAGAGAACATAAAACTAATAACCCTATAACCTAGCAAACTAAACGTAAAACACCTAAAACCATTATCACTAAAATAAACTCTCTTAATTCTAGCTAACCACTAACTCACTAATTACCCCACTACTCACGTCAATAATCCCTCCCCTAACAACCCATAATTAAATAATTACTTTTATTAAATAAATGCACATGACATTCCATCCCCCTTGAAACGATTCTCGACCACAAGAATCAGCTCGTCTTCTTCAACCGGGATCTCCATAGAGCATGAGCCACCATAGTTGAGACGCTAAGGTCCCATTGTCAAAGTTTGCTTATGCTAGCAAAGTAACCCCCACCAAATAATACCAAGTACTGTGAAAATCACCAAAGAACGTTGCTTTTGTAGGAACAAATGGGAAATTCTGCCAATTAATGAGAAAAACATCCAAACACTTATCCTTCCTTTCGCTGGGTGTTGTAGCGTATGATGAGTAGGTAGAGAGCTTGGACAAGGGAAGGGTCCGAGCAGCATGGTCATTACGAGACTCGGAATGGTTTGGTTGCCTGGGGTTGGACTCCGTAGTCTTCCGGAATTCAATTTCTTTGAACGTCCCCTGCAATAGTTTTTTTCGGAGTCAGGTGCCCCTGTTTTCATCCGACGCAACAGAGTTTGTGTTTGGGAATCGACTTCGAGCTAGAGGACGGGTGGAAGGAAGTTACTACTGCATGTACATTCCAGACCGCCCCAGGAATGAATTTCCTAGCAAAAATAGCGGCCAATCATCCTCAAACTGAAACACCCAATTCTGCAAAATCATCTCTGAGAATGCAGGAGCTCGTCTCCAAGAATGGGTATCTGTCGGCATGACTGGGCACGAATCAAGCCGAAACAACGATGTAGAATCGCTACTGGGGGTGTTTGGAAGGTGTAGGAGCAATCAATTCATCACCACGATGCTCAAACAAGAAACGCCCAATTTTGAATTGAAGATTCTGGGTAACAATATTATGCAGAAGAACATGTTTGAGCAGCCCTATTTCGACCCAATTTGGGATCAATTCTGTGTACGATTTGAGCAACGAAAGGCCAAAGTGTCGAGGGAAACACTTTTTCAAGAGGGAGGGCCTGATATGATCCCAAACGGTCCATTATACACGTCACAATTAATCTTCAAAGAGGCCAAGTCGAATTCCGAGAGAAACAGAAAATTGTCCAAGTAATTTTCCGTGTTCAAGTAGCCTAGCACGTTTCTCTCAATTGGCTAAATGGAAATTCAAGTTTGATGGCTTTTATTGAACATGGAGTGATTATCTACACATTGGTATGCTTGGTAGCTCAAGAAAAAGTCATTAAGCTTGTTTTCCAAGGTCTCAAAGTTGCTAGCTCAAAACTGGAAAACTGCCAGAAAATTGCCAAGGCGGAAAACTATTTTGAGATACCAACTTTGAAGGCCTATATTTGGAGTTTGGAGCATGATCTCAGGCTGTTTCAAGTTGGAGGTGAAAGAGAGTTTTCTTAAACAAAGGAAAGGCATTGGTTGAGTTCGAATCAACCTAGAAGGCCATTTTCGAAGGGCACAAAGATGCTATGAAGCATGTTTTCCTAGGCAGAATTGCTTGTGTTTTAAGTCAGTTTCTTGGCTTGCAAGTTACCTTGTTTTACACGAATTCTTTAGCCTTTTCCTGTTCTAATTGGTTTCCTTGTTAGTTTAGAATTGTATTAGGTTTTCTTTGGATATAAAAGCCTTCTAGTTTTCGTAGTAATAGTAAGACTTTGATTAATCGAAAAACAAACCTTTGGTTTTGTGCAAGTTGCGACTTGTTTGAGTTTGGTGGATTCCAAACTTGTGAGCTTTGTATCGATTGAATATCCTCTTCAATCGTGGTCAAGCAGCTACCCTTTTATACCATTCAAACTGGTGGAGTCTCTTTTGTTAGTTGTGCTGCCTTCTCACCTTTTGTTTGACCAGTTTTTTCTCCCTCCTACTCTTTATGACTTCGAACATTCATTGCAGAATTGGCGAATACTAAGATGAAGAGAATGGCAAATAAAGTTAAGATGCAGACTACATTGCTCAAGTTCATCACTGATTCCATAGCGATGGATTTTCTGTCTCACATTCACCGAAGGTGCTTAATATTCGCCTTGGCCTACCTAAAAGATGTTGTGTCCACTTTTGGTTAACAAATGAAAACTTCTTAACCTCCGATTTGTCAAAAGACATCTTTGGTGTTTGAAGAGCTCGTTCAGTTATTCTGCCAAGTTTCTCAATCTCATTCTCAACACAGCTACCAGCAATGAAGCTTTACAAGAGGCTTTCGAACTCACAAACACAATGTTCGATCTAATCATATGTGTTGAGTTACACTTCGGTCCTCGTGCATCATCCCTTGTTGCAGCAGCATCAGCGAAGCCTTGGCTGCCTGATCTAACTCTTGCATTGGGATCTGGAACCTTACCCAGAAAGAGGGAAGAAGAAATTGCAAATCCCAGTGAGTAACTGCATATAAAGCTCAACTTCCCATCGTGGCTACTCATGCTAGCAAAGGTTCAGCTGCATCAAATGAGTAAGAGGAGCAGGAGGAATATGGTAGCATTTCAGAAGGGTCTGTGGAACTATTTCTTGCATTTAGAAAATTCATGGATATGGTGGTGACATTGGTAAGAGCACATAGAATAGTAATGGATGCGGTTGGGATGATTTTCTTGACAGGGGCATTGGTTGGACTGGAAAGAAGGGATTCTGGATTGGTGATGGGGATGCTGCACTTCGTTTGTGTGAAGTTGGTGGGAGAAGACAGAGAATGGACTCAACTTAATGCAATGTTGACTTCCCTCCTAGAGATTTTCCCGATAATCGAGAGACAGGTTGAAGAAGAACAAAATGAGGAAGAGGCAAGAAAGGAATCGGACAAGGCTAAAGCATTGCTTGAACCTGGTTGGTTGTATCATGTTTATGAAACTGGTAAGTTTTGTGATGCTGAGGAATAGAGGATTTTGCATGAACAGCATTGGGATTACGCAATGTTTTTAGATGGTGGGAGTCCGTCTGATAGAAAGATTGTTTAATTTCCAGAATTCTACATATATATGGAAATCCTTGAGTTGTTTGGTTTCCTACTCGTTATCGGAGAATGTTTCTGCTCAATAACAAATCATTTCCTTGTGGTTTCTGCGGCAAGGTACTAAAGCTGCTACTATCTCAGGTAGCTAATTTTGCTGTGAACCAGAAATTCAGCATTTCTCATACCAATGTCTCTCAAGTAGAAGCTCATCAAAATACATAGGCTAAAAAATCAAAATACTCTGCTAAAAATGGAAAAAGAACATAAAAGAAAAGAAAAGAAACAAACAAGCATTTATACTCCATCAGTCAAACCTGGTAACTTGAATCCTTCTAAGGATAATCTATAGAGTAGTTTCTCTCTTACTTGGTCTACACGCCACCAATAAATTTCCCCAGATATCTAAACTACATCAATAAGATATTACCTTTGTTCTCAAAATTGCAATTCAAAATTTTTTCACACGGGAACCATCTTCAAGATAGCAGCAATCGGCATGCCAATAAATCCGATAAGCACACTAGCTCCCCATTGATGCGACGTCAGATGCGTTGTGTTAGCAAACGTTCCTAGAAGCTCAATAATTATTATCTGGAAAGCTACAGTAGCACCCAAAACCATGACAAAGACATAGTTGTTCATTATGCCTCTGAACACGTTGATCGACTCCATTTCACGAGAGCTTATCTCATTGAAAACCTGAAACGATTTAGAAACAAACAGAGCATAGGATAATTTATGTATTTAATGGGGAGAAAAGACATCAACAAGCTCATTTGTTTAACCTTTTCCCTTACCTGACAGAAGACGAAGGAGTTGAAAATGATAGTGTTGAGAACAAGATCAGAATTTGGGCCTTCGAGCTCAAACATCAATTTCCCAGAAGCTTGGAGCTTCCATATTATCAAGAACTGGTAAAAGGATTGCCCTAAGATGTTTCTCCACATCACATTAGTAATGAAATGGCCCTTCCTTCCAACTGGTGCGCGTTTCATTAGTTCATTGTTTGGTGGTTCTGTTGCCAGCGCAAGAGCTCCTAATGTATCCATTATCATATTTACCCACAACAATTGGACAGCTGTCAGGGGTGCACTTCCTGGAAATTAAGATATACTTTCCATGGTTAGGTTTCTATTTTGACCACAAAGACATTGTCTATCTAAGAAAGTGGTTTTTATAAATTTATATTAGGGTTTATGTCTTGATTACCTGTCATGCAGGCTGAAGAGAAGTTAACTACCAAGGCAACCACGTTAACTGTGAGCTGGAATTGCACAAATTTTTGGATGTTGATGTAAACCGAACGCCCCCATTTGGCTACTGTCACTATTGTTGAGAAGTTATCATCCAGGATGATCACATCAGCACTCTCTTTAGCCACCTGAACTTCTCAAAATTACGAGGTCAGACTCTAGAAGAACTCCTCATGTTTCCTTCCTTCACACGAGTTCGCTGGTTACTAATTAAACGCAGATGAAATCACGTAAAAACTCACCTCGGTTCCAGCTATGCCCATTGCAAGACCAATATCAGCTTCATGAAGTGCTGGAGCATCATTTGTTCCATCCCCGGTCACAGCAACTACATCATCAAATGTGGTTCTCAAATGCTTCACCAGTGTGTGCTTGTCAAGAGGTGAAGATCGCGCCATCACCTGTGAAACAATGGGCTTCATTCAAACATTTTACTAAATACAAGTGGGAAAAATCTTTTTCCTTTTCCTGCTCTGGTCAACGATGGTATTATACATATTACACACTATACCTGAATCTTGGGAATCAATTCAAGCAACTCGGCCTGGCTTTTTTCCCTGAAAACTGGACCTTCAATAGCTATACCATCACTAGTAAGAATCCCACACTCTCTCGCTATAGCTTTAGCAGTGTTGATGTTGTCTCCTGTCACCATTCTAACAGCAATACCAGCTGCATGACAAACTGCAACAGATTCTTTCACCCCTGGCCTTACTGGATCCTTAATCCCCACGATTCCAATGCAAGTATACCCAGACTCTGGGATCGCATCATTAGGAGAAAACCCACCTTGCACTTCTTTGTATGCCAAGCATAGAGTTCTGAGGGCCTCACCAGCAAACTGATCGATTGTAGCCTGCAAAAATTTCACAGATGAATCATCGAGAGCCACAATTTCTCCTTTCGCATTGATCACCTTCTCACAGGAGGCCAACACTATTTCCGAGGCTCCCTTCGAGTGAGCTCTCATTCTTCCACCTTCTCCAGGAAGCTCCACTATTGCCCCCATTCTTTTTTTGGTGGAGTTGAATGGCTCGAGCTTAACAAGCTTTACTGCTTCCCTCTCAGCCTGGAATTCCCCACCTAGGGATAAACCAAACTCGAGTATAGCCGCCTCAGTAGGGGTCCCCAAAATCTCCCGTTTCCCTTCTTTGCTCATCACAACTTCACCACCGGTATTGTTGAATATCGATTGAAGCAATAACTTGAGAGCTGAATCATGGAGCTCGGATTTCAAGTTGGCAAACTTGCTCGGATTCCCAACTTCGTGAACACTCATGCAAATGCATGATTTCACAACGGTCATGTGGTTCGTCGTCAAGGTTCCAGTTTTGTCACTACAAATTGTTGTAGCGGAACCCATCGTCTCACAAGCTGCAAGGTGTCTAACAAGTGCTTTGTCATTCATCATTTTCTTCATGGCGAATGCAAGACTTAAAGTCACCGCAAGTGGCAAACCTTCTGGAACCGCGACAACCACGATCGTGACTGCAATGGCAAAGTACTCGAGCATCTCCATTGCTTCCTCAGCATTCCAATCCACGTGACTGCCATCCTTCCATTTCCTGACAAGAAGCCCTTGTACCAAAACTGCAAAAGTGATGACCGCAAAAAAGAGTCCAATCTTCCCAATAATGGTTGCTACTCCGTTTAGTTTAACCTGCAATGGAGTCTCATCATCACCTCCTTCACTCAAAGTCGCCATTAGTTTCCCCCATTGAGTTCTCATCCCAACAGTTGTAATCAACATCTTGCAGGAACCATCTTGAACTTTGGTTCCAGAAAGCAGAAAGGGGGTTTCACTGCCCACCATAACCGGCTCGCTTTCACCAGTTAAGCTCGATTCATCGATCAAAACAGAGAAGCCCGAAACAAAAAGCCCATCTGCAGGGACCTGATCCCCTATCGCGAGATGGACAATGTCTCCAGGAAGCAAGTCGTAGATGGACATCTTCTGCCTGAACCCATTCCTTGTGACTTGGATGCTTATCTTCTTTTTCTCCTTGTCCAAATCCTTGAATTGTAGGGACTGGCGGTAGTCACTTGTTGCTGTTACGAACACGACTAACATTATACTCGCAACAATTCCAAGCCCGTCATGAGCTCCCTTGGGCCATCCTTCTGTAGCTATCCCAACTATTAAGGAGACGAAAGCACACACCGCCAATATCATAAGGGTCATGTCATGAAGGGCTTCCCAAACGAATACCCAGAAACTCCTAGATTCACTTTCGGCAAACTTGTTGATTCCAAAAAGCTCTTGTCTACGTCTCAATGCGTCAGCATCTTTAGGGAGGCCGTCGTTGGTTGAAGTGCATAGCTTTCGAGCTATCCCACTGACTCCTCCATGGAATCGCAACTTCTTCACGTCGTGGCCTTCAACGATGGATCCCAACTCATCAGCACAAATGTCGAACCCAGCTGCTTTCACTTCGGAAGGTACGGTGTAGTCACTTGGGGATACACCTGTAGAACAATATCCATCAATATGCGTTGCAAAAATAACAACTAAGTAATCCATTGAATCGAAGATTATTTCATTTTGAGGGAGAGGGATAACTCACTGGAGATGAACTGAAATGCGGCTTTGGATACGAGAACTGCAATCCTTAACTTCTCCTGCAAAATATATGGCACTAAGACAATAAGAATCTTGATGAATAAATTGGTTTTATTCTACCTATAAATTGAAAAGCAATGTGCAAATCAGGGGACAGATTGTATTGTATAAGAAACATTATGTAAATTGGCTACAATAATGAGACTACATTGTCAAAAATGTTTTAAAATTAACATCCATCGCTTGGACAATTGAAAACACAAAGTAAAATAGAAAGAAACATAAAAGAGACTGTCATAGTGACGATCATTTTCCATCACTAAAGTAATGTTTCATTGGAAATGTATTTTGCAGACCTTATATGCTCGTCGAGGCTAACGCAATAACGCTGCCTTAATATTCATAAAAAAACACTGCCTTAATAATTTTTCTTTACATGAATTGTCAAAGATGTCAATTTGAGCGATGGTCGAACCTTATGAGTGAACCAAAACATGGCGTCACAAAAAAAACTCACAACGGAAAACGACGACTAAGATGTTTTATAAATGGGCTTTGCATCTATTTGTGATTATTGTAACGAGCATGAGCTCTACATAATTGTGCTTCTTGTTATGCTTTTCTGGCGCATCACTACTAGTTCTGCTTTTACCAATGGCTTCATGGTTGTTACTGAAGCGTGAAAACTGTTACTAAATAGTGACCAATAGCTATCAATGACCAATAATTATTTTTTCAGTAGATGAATTTTATTTTTTATAACACTGCACTTTATGTAATAAAATATTTGCACCTAGATGTAATTATTCAACCTTTTTTAATAAATTCTTTATCATTAGTTGAAAGAGCAAACTTGTCACTCAAAAGTTTTGGAGGAATTGTGTTTTTAGGGAATTTTTATTGGACTTAAAAATGTTTAATTTGTGCGAAAACTATTTTCAAGATCGAACATTGTTCAATTTTGTGACCATGTATGCTAGATAACAATATTATACATATTTACGATGATATTTATTATACACCTTCAATGAAAGAAATTGGAGTAAAATTCTTAGACTTCTATGGGTTTTCACTTCCCATTATGCATTCAATGATCAATTAAAATTTTCACGT